CTTCGTCCCGGTGACTGTACCTACTGTTCCTTGGAATTGGAAACTGTAAACAAGTCGTGCTCGAGAAAATATGTAATACTCAATGAAAAATAAGAGTGTTCGTTGTAGGTGCACCGTACCGGAGATCAATCGAAGTTGTCGTGGAGTGACTCGGGTGGATTAAATCCGCCAGGCTGACGCTTCTGAGACGTCATTACATGAATCACTATTTTATTTTCCAGATGGAATATGCATATCATAAACACGTTGAGGTGAGCGAGATACGGTTGCAATGAACACTTCGGATTTGGAAGCTTGGATTTTCTATCAGAAGGCGAGTGAGGTCTGTTGTGAGCCCACAATGTTGTCTTGCGTATTCGTACCGGAAATAAATCTTTCCTATAATTCAAAGCGAACATTGCCGTCTAGTCGATGCGGCAACCTCAAAATGCGATTCTTGTTTCCTTAAGAATGCAGCATTAGTTCCAATAGTTTCACATGCATAGCTCGTGCCGCACACTATATCAACACCGTGCCGAACTGGAGTGAGTAGCAACGTGGAGCTCCTCGCCGAGAGCGCTGTGTAGGCTGTATAGTGTACGCTGCACGGTGTATACTAGCGTCGAGGTGATCGGCCTTCTGTCTCTAGCAGCACTCTCGCAGCGGTCTGACTCTCTGTCATGACAAGACATGACGAGAGCCACCGCGACACCGGCAACATACTGTATTCATGTAGTCATTACTACATACATTTAAGAGTCATTTCCTACACACAGAATGATCTGTGCAGTCTGTGATCGGGCCTCGACCATGACCCGGTTCCAACACGGGTAAAACTTGTATAATGACACGTACATAATGCGTTTTATCGGTGAGAAAATATTCAAGTTCACTTCTAATTTTAGCATCAAAATAAACAAGGAAGTATTGATAGATTGAAAAAACGTATGAATAGTGACGTCACCCGCGCTAACCGCACGACCGCTCTAGGTCAGCGCTTCTCAACCTGTGCGGCTGCGGTACCACGCGTACCTCTAGGGGACGCAGGGTCTCACTGGAGGTACGTGAAAATTTATTGTATACTTTATTTTTTTCTACTTTTACTTTATTTCATTTTCTTAATTTCAGTAAGGATAATAACAATTAATAATATAAGGATAACAATATGTTTTTGTGATTGGTATTATATTGTAGTTACAGGGCTTTACGTGAATTTTGACAAAAATTATCTGATATTTGATTAATTATATTTAAAATAATATTATGTTTAAGCTTTAAAGTTCTAAAGTTAATAATTAATGACTGTTTTTTAGTGTATCAGATCAAAATCAAATATTTTTTATGGAAAACCCTACAGCACTAACTGTTGTAGGAATATCCTTAAAAATAATAAATAAACAGATGATAGATAGATATAGACATTCACAAAAATATGTATAATAACATTTCGTTATTGGACATAAAAGACAACTCTGTACAAAAATACAAAAACAACGAGAGTCTAGAGTCAAGACGTATATTTCAAAGCTAAGATCGACAATAGATTAAGAGAAATGAGACATATTTTTAGGAGAAGATATAAAGTTATTAGACGACGATACTCATAAATGAAAATTTTTATTAAGGACTAGCTGACCCGGCAGACTTCGTAGTGCCTCAATCGATAAATAAAAGACACATCAAGGGGACACATCAAAGGAAAAACAAAATTGTTTGTTTTTATATAATTCCGAGCTTTTTTATATTTTCTCACTTTTAAACCTTCCCTGGACTTCCACGAATAATTCAAGACCAAAATTAGCCAAATCGGTCCAGTCATTCTCGAGTTTTAGCGAGACTAACGTACAGCAATTCGTTTTTATATATAGAGAAGAGACGAGACCAAAAAAGGTTGAGAGCCACTGTTCTCGGTTACAACTGAAGGACAAGCAAGACGTAGCGACGAACTCAATAACAAAACTGATTCGAATAGTGAGACGGATTTAACTTAGTTGCACTAAAGTTTCGTCACGAAGTGCTGCTATTGTCGGCGACCTCATATTTATAATTCAGTTTATGTTCAGGTTTATATTTAGGTAGAGACTAATCGAGATACGAATGTGGCTGAAACTTTAGACAAGTATTCTGGTCACGAAACAAGTTCACAGGTGGCGGCAGGGCGGGTTCGCTCGACAGGCGCCGCGGCGTCTCATGTTATGACCTGCTAGTTTGTGAACTCTTCGACTATTGTATGCTACCAAATCTTTAGTTTGTACAGCTTTGGATAAATTGAATATTTCCTAAATGTTAATAGGAAACTTACTGACTAGTTTAGTATTTGTACTTCTGCGTTTTGATAAAGAGGCGGGTCCTCGACAGCATAAATAAAAAACTTGCATTTCTCGAACATGATACTTTAATTGACACAACACAAAATTACGATAATGATGTAAGTCACACTCCCGAAATAAAATATATGTCTTTTCTAAACTACATGGAACTGCCGCTCAGGCATCCCTGGCGCCGTCATATAAGTGAACTATTACTAACAACATTTTTTTCTCTTCAAAAAGTTATCTCAATAAACTGCCTACCCTGATCGTCTGATAGCGTGGAGCTTGTAAGGCCAGAGACTGACCCGCGAGTGTAGATAATATATAAGCCCCTTATTATCGTCGTCGATAAACTGGAGTCGAGAGGGTATGACCGTGTTGTGCGTTGTGTTTTGCGATATCGATATAACGATATTGATTGTGTGGTGATGTGGATGATGACATAGTTATCTCGTTGCGCGCGTGGGGTATTCACGGACTCACAATGCGTGCGCTGTGCCCGCGTCGACTCGAAGAGACCGCTCAATGCCGCTGTTGTGGTTGATGGCGCCAGCGGGCAAGTCACCTCGCGGAGCGCGGAGTCCGACGCGTCACAACGAGAGCGCTGTCCTCCTGCCGAAAGACCTCCCGGGGTATCATTCTATACCCGCCAGACACATTCTATACGATTTTTTATAAGAAGTTTGTTAATAATAATAACTAATATTATAAAGCTGAAGAGTTTGTTTGTTTGAACGCGCTAATCTCAGGAACTACTGGTCCGATTTGAAAAATTCTTTCAGTGTTAGGTAGCCCATTTATCGAGGAAGGCTATAGGCTATATAACATCACGCTAAGACAAGCGGATCACCAATAAATAATGTTTCAATATCGGGGTTATTTTCCCTTTTGAGAGTTTCCGCTGCGTGCGCTGCAGAAACGGTTAAAGTTTCGCTAAAATAATGTATGACAGAATTGTTTCCCTTTAAAATACCTTAAAAAGCCTGCGACAGCATATGTCTGTATGTTAAGGTTGGCTCACTACAATGTGTATTGTTCTAAAATAAAGCATTATTTGTGAACTCTTCCACGCGGGTAAAAGCTAGTTAATAAATATTTTTTTATTGCCTTTGTAGGCAGACGAGCATACGGCCCACCTGATGGTGAGTGGTTACCGTTGCCCATGGACTTCAGCAATGCCAGGGGCAGAGCCAAGCCGCTGCCTAATATGCGCAAGGGTTCAAAATCAACGCCTTTATCGTATTTACCCCGGTGAGGTGGTGGAATATCAATGGAAGCCTCCAATGTGGTCATATTTTTCTTTAAAATAATGCCGAAGGAACATTACTTTAATATCTGCTTAGTGTAGTTTGTTTGTACATGCTGTATGTACCTTTTGCATACTGTTTATTGGTTATGTGTGTGGAAGTATATTATTAGTATGTAAATCATATAGTGACTTCATACTATAGTTCTATTATTCTATTTAATATTTTATTATATATCATTTTTATTATATAATATGTATGTTTTTCTTTATTATTTCATAGGGTGCGTAATGGCTTATAGGTTAAGGTAATAATATATTTAAAGGCATATTTAGATAGAGCACACTATCGTTAACAATGGTACAACGCAACGTACCTGCTGTATCTTTTGCAGAATTTTTGTAGATAAAACTATTGTCTTAAAGATGCTTTTAGCGATAAGACCACCTATTGTAATTTTTTTTTATTTTTTTTTATTTACTTACTATTACGCCACCTTACCTGGTCCCGTGCTAAGTTCGTAAAGAACTTGTGTTACAAGTACCAAATAACGGAAATAAATGTAAGATTTTTATTATACACATATACATTTATTTAATATACATCCATAACCCTGGAAAAGACATTTTATATTTATCATACAAATATCTTCTCTTGGCGGGATTCGAACCCACGAGCCCCTTGTGTAGTGACCATGTCACTTACCACTACACTACACGGTCGTTAAATATACAATTATTATACCTGTCTGTTGACTGTCTTCAATGTTAATAGTATTTTAGTGTGCAATAGTGTGTATTCTCTCTGTTTCTCTCATTAAAGGCGAGGAAACTGCCGATACTCAATTAACCGCTAAATTAGTAACAGCTTTTAACGTTACATTGTCACTTGCGAGGAAAAATTGATTCTTTTTAATAACGTAAGCGGTCAGCATGTTGGTTAGACCCTGTTTGAGCACCATATAATGTCCCAAACGAAAACTTACCTGTAAAAGGTCATGGTCACTGTTTGGTGGTCTAGTGCCTGTATAATTCATCACAGCTTCTTGCCAAATGGCACCAGCATTACTGCCGATGTATGCTGTGAGGAACTGGACATAATAACAGAGAAGCTCGCGAATTTTCGGTCAGTCTTGGTTAGTCGCTCGTCCCCGCTGCTCCTACACGACAACGCTCGACCTCGTGCGAGACAACAGACGGTCGTTAAGCTGCAAGAGCTCCAAGAGAGGTTGGAAGTTATGTGTCATCCACTGTACTCACTAGACCTTTCGCCCACAGGCTAGTGTTTAGTGCTTACCCTAAGTCTAAGGCTCAATTGTACTGTATGTCGACTAAATCGGAACCTATGACTGGTTCGCGGTAGAAATTAGAAAAATATGAGGTGTCTACTGCTGCAGCTCTTGGCGCTCTGTGCCGAGAGAACACGAGCTGTGGCACCGGCGGTGACGTTCCGTGCTGTGTTGCAGATGTATGCGGGCGCGTTGCTGGCCACGGCGGCGCGGCTGGCGTGGGACCCCAGCACATACACGTGGTTCCGCTTCCTGTGCGCCGCGCAGTACCGCGTGTCGGCCGCCTACGTGCTGGCGGCGGGCCTGTGGCTGGCCGCGCTCGTCTACCTGGCAGCGGCCGCCGCGCACCGCTCCGCCTCGCACTCGCACTGCCTGCATCTCGTAAGTGCCGCACCCGCCCCGCGACCCCCCGACAATCCCCGTTGCCACAATACGATCTACAGCGAGTGCAGGCTGCCTAGCGCATGTACAAACATTTACTCATTTAATCAGCTCTTTAAAACTAATCCGAGAACTAGTACCTACTTAAATAATATTTGTACTTTTCATAGAACAGCTATACATACACACTACATACTATACTATATTACAATGTGAAGTTTCTTTGTTTCTGTAACATACATTTATTTTGTAGGTACACAATATAATAGGGGTTAAAGTATGAAATTGCCGTTTTATTGTAATAGGTGCTTCTAATTGACATAGAACCTCATGGTTTGAGATTATTGAGTGAAACCTTTTTCAAATGGTACCTATTAGGTTCTTCTTTTCAAAAATGGGCAACGTTCGATTATCGACTTTCAGTTGTTTTTTTATTCAGATTAGACAAGAAAGATGGATATTTCGAAAATTCGAGTGATTTTTGAATAAGAGTTCCGACGCGGAACTAACACTGCAGAAACAGCTCGCAATATTAATGTTGCGTTTGAAGAGGGCACTGCTAATGAACGCACCGTGCGATTTTGGTATAAACGCTTTCGTGATGGAAATTTTGATTTGAAGAACGAACCACGTGGAATACTCCCTACACATGTGAATAACAATGAATTTAAAGATATGGTGGAAGCCGATCCGAGCCAAACCACGGCGGCAACGAATTAGCGGCATGGTTTAACGTTACCTTGCCAACAATATTGACTTATTTGCGTCAAATCAATAAAATAAAATAAATATGAAAAATTGGTACATTATGATTTGATTGATTTGCAGAAAGAAACGCGTGTTCAAACTTGTGTTGCCTTGTTGAATCGATACAGAAATGAAGGAATATTGGATCGAATTGTGACATGTGATGAAAAGCGGATTCTTTACGATAACCGTAAGCGAAAAATGCAATGGCTGACCTCAGGTCAAACGCCGCAACAGTTTTAACAAAGCTTACCAATAAAAAGGTAATGGTAACTGTTTGGTGGTCTCAGCATGGTGTCATTCACTACAGCTTTCTCCGATCTGGTCAAGCAATAACGGCACAATAATATGTCTACTGTGCCGAACTACCAATTTTTTCGCGATTTGGACAATTTTCTACGTGATAAAAAGTTTTATTCCCAGGAGGCAGTAAAAAATTCTTTCACATAGTTTGTAGAATCTAGATCACCAGAGTTATATCGCAAAGATATAAATGACCTTCCTATTAGATGGCAGCAATGTATATATAATAATTAAATAAATAGGTATGTTAAATGAAAAAAAAAAAACGCATTTTTCAGCACAAATCGGCAATTTCATACTTTAACCCATAATATTTATGTTACTACTTTGCCGTTTTAACCATTAACGTACATATATTCACAATTATTAGTTGAGAAGAAACTTGGTTTTGATGGAGACTTTCTTTTGCAAAATGTAATCTGGACAGCATAACTATTGGACTAGTTATATAGTAGTAGTAGTAGTAGTACGAGTAGCTTAGAATTCTACCCAGTTCAAAATGAAAAATATCTATTGTTTTCTAAAGACGTTGTGCATCAAAGCGACCGTGCAGTCTGTAACAATATCGCAGGCTTCTGCGGGACTGCATCGCGACGTGGACGCCTTGTTGTCCGGGGGGACTTAGTACTGTTCTCAGAATACACGTGTGTTCTGGCATTTCTAAGGAACCGCGCTACCATGCAAATATATATAGCATGCATGCAAATATGTATAGTGAACAAATACAGTGCAACCTCGATATAACAAATCGGAAGGGGACAAGTAGATATTCGTTATATTAAGTAGTTCGGTAAACTGAGCTTTGTTATATTAAGGTTAGGCTGGTCTACCATTTGTTACAACAAGGTACTTACCTAAAAAAATAGTTTTATTCACCTCAACATTACGTACCTACTCATCTTGTTATAGTGAACAACTTCTACTAATAAATGATGAACACATTTTTATCAAATTACTGTATGCATTTTCTATATAATAACAAATATGTAGGTAACATTTTTTTACCTTAGATTAATAATCTAAATTAAATGCTTACTTCATCAGTCCGTAAAACTAGGTATCAAGGTGGGTTCATACATTATGTAAGTAATTTAATGTTAATTGTAAAGATTCGTTAAACAAAACTTACGAATTAAAGGTAAAAACTTAAAAAATCAACAACGAGTAGCCTGTTTACATTACGTCCCAGTGGCCCCATCAAACAAACCGGTCGAGACCGATTCCACATGCTATGGGATTAAGCATCATATTTGTGGGAACATTATATAAAGGTTTTGGGTTGACAAAATTCGTTAATTAGAGGTATTCAAACTTTTATTTATAGTTGAAAATTCGTTATAAAGAGGTTGCTCGCAAGAAGTCTTCGCAATTTAAAGTTATTATTTTACATTGACTCTTATGGACAATTCAAGGGGATTACGAAGAATTTGTTAAATCGAGGACGTCGTTATATTGAGGTTCGTTATATTAAGGTTGCACTGTAGTTTCAAATGTTGTGAGCTGGTTCTGGAGGCCCACAGACAGCACAACAGGAACTCCGCTACCTACCTAACGACATGAGCATGATAGCCCAGTGTGCTTAGTGCGAGTTTCTTAACGTTCTCGATAACGTAAAAGTTAACTCAATTTTGTATGCAGTTGGAATAGCGCCCCTAGCGGCAAACGTACGCAAACGATCCCATCCCATACAAATGTGAGCTAACTTTTACACTATCGAGAACGTTAAAAAACTCGCACTAAGCACACAGCTCTCAAACTGTACAGGCGAGTAGGAGAGTAGGCGATGGCAGTAGTGCTGTAGTTATTAGTGTAGTTACTATGACATTCCAGTACGCGGCGGGCGTGGCGTGCCTCGGGGTGAGCGAGGTGGGGTACGGCGCGTGGATGGGCGTGTCGCTGGCGGCCTGGTGGCGGAGCGCCCCGCAGGCCGAGCTGGCGCGGCGCGGCATGGACCTCATGCACGACATCAAGCCGGCGCTGCTCGCCTTCACGCGGTACAAGGACCTCGTGCGGCCTCTCTACGACATCATCGAGGTGCACCTGTCTCACTATATAGTCCCCGGCACGTAACTTGATAAGAGTCGCTAGATGCGCAGAAGTCGTTTTTTAGGTCTCTTTGGTTGTCAAGCGGGACGCGGGGAAAGACGTAGCACCGTTCCGAGCGCGCGATTGGTGAGTCAGTCGACCCTCCCCTCCCGCACCGCGTCCACGTTCCGTTCGCTCCCGGTTACACATGCGCCTACTAAAGTTGTAGGAACTCTTTGTTTATATTAAGTTTTTGTTACGAGTTGCTCATCATCATCAGCCTGCGGCAGTCCACTGCTGGACATAGGCCTCCCCCAAAGCTTGCCACTGAACCCGATCTTCGGTTCTACGCATCCAGTTACTGCCAGCTGCCTTGCGCAGGTCGTCGCTCCATCTATCTATACGAGTTGTTATTATTGTTTTAAATTTAGTTTTTGTTACGAGTGTTATTGTTTTAAGTTTGTTTGCAATGCCAGGACCAAATACCAATGATCATATAGTTGATTCAGTCACTGAGCGTTTTATTATTTACGCCAGTGACGACAGCGACTCTTCGTTATGTCGACGAGGAGGAGTCAACTCCTTCCACCAGCTCAGGTGCAACCATAAATTTAATCCAAGGGGTAGCACTATTAGAAAATGATAGTGACGACGGCGACACATAATTTTTAATATTAAGTATGTTTTTTTAAATAAACTCGTTAATTTTATTTCGTTTTAATTGTATTTTATTTATAACACCTAATACACTTCACGAATTCCTCTCTTTTCTTTAACTTTCTTCTAAACACACAGGCTTAACAATAAATTATGGCAAATAAAAAATTTAATAAAATAAAATTAAATTATATGCGGGCAATAAAAGTGACAATTTTTTTTTGTTGCAATGTACACTATGCGCGACATTACCCCCACTACACCAAAACCTTGCCAAGTTACGTGCCGCTTACTATACCTACGCGTATACGACAATCGATATATCGTCACAAAATAAAAAATATTAATGAGTCCATCGTGTCAGCAGGAGATGGAACGGGAGGCGCCCAACAACGCCTTCGTGATCATCGTGTTCGGGGTCGTGGGAGCCGCGCTGCAGGTAGAGGCCCGTGGACAACACCGAATAGCGAGCAATGATTGTAGAGCAGAGGTAACGTTCCGGGTTAACATTCCAGGTGGCGGCGTTCGTGATGGCGCGCATCCTAGCGCGACGGGCGGGCGAGGCGGCCCGCGTCCCCCGACCCCCCGCCGCGCCCGACGCCGCCGACGACAGCGACGCAGCGGACGAGCCGCCTCCCCCGCACTGGAGGAAGGACGCCAACCTCCGCATGTACACCATACTCGACAAGATTTTCTAGCAGGTGACGTACCATGTGTAAATAAATAAATACTTCCTTCACGACTCCTCACTGGTGGTAGGACCTCTTGTGAATCCGCACGAGTAGGTACCCCGCCTATTTCGGCCGTGAAGCAGTAATGCGTTTCGGTTAGAAGGGTGGGGCAGCCGTTGTAACTATACTGAAACCTTAGAACTTATATTTCAAGGTGGGTGGCGCATTTACGTTGTAGATGTCTATGGGCTCCAGTAACCACTTACCACCAGGTGGGGTATGAGCTCGTCGACCCATCTAAGCAAAAAAAACTCAGTATCAGAGCTACATGGAGGCTACCTTTCTTCCTCAATCACCCGCAAACATAGACGAGACGTAACCCTCCGAGGTGTGAAGATCACAGAAGTGGTCCGTCCGCCCTCCACACTCAGCGGCCCTGTGACCGAGTCTCTGCCGACTGTGACATCCTTATCTGTACGTATTTTTCTAATACAGCCGAACCTTTGAAAACATTATATTTTTTGTATTGGACAAGTGGACTAAAGGATGAACTCCCATCTGGCCCATCCAATGTAAAGGGGTCACCGGAGCCCATGGACATCATCAGCCTCAATTTTAGTGTTTAATGTATCACTCTTCAAACCATAACGCACGGCTGCTTCGCCGCAGAGATACGTACAAGTCGGCGTTAAGCCAGGGTTTTCACACTTAAGTTCTTTTACAATAAAAATACAATACAATTCTATAAAACCTTAACATTACTTCCTTATTACAAAAAGCCACGTCTTAGTTCTTACACAATTAGCCATTTTTGTGATGGTTATAACAACTACAACGTCTTTTATAAAAACAAATGTAATTACTACAAAACAATTCACAAAACATAGCTTAATATTTACGATACATATTTTAGTGATTTTTACATGACTGACATTAATTTATTTTTCATGAATTACTTTTAACTTATATAAACTAACGTTGTTATTATCCAGCCTAATAATAGATGGCGCCAACATCATTTGCATAACAATTACGATACTTAATTAATTAATTACTGTTAATTATAATATAAATTATTCTTAATATTTTTGCTTTATTGATATTTAATTATTTATATAGCCATATGTGTTTTTAAACAATAATATAAACAATAATAAATATTCTGAACATTTTCACATTAAAACAGTGTCTGCTAAATATTAATTTTTTTTTTTTTGGTCAGGAGGAAATCGCCGGACTTTCGCTCTCCTCTGGGGACGGCGGGCGGAGCATGTCGGAGTCGAACCGACTTAAAACTCCTGTCGCTCAACAAAGTGTTTAGTGCGGAGCACATCTCTCCCATCACCCTCCCCTCGGGACGCCGGACTGGCGGTCGTCGGCGCCACGACCACCAGCCCTCTCGGTCGGCAGGCTATTCGGAGCCCGCCTAGATGGCGCCGGTTAGAGTGAGCTATCCTACGGAATACCCCGCTGGGTCAGAACCAGCGTGGGTCGAGGATAGCCGGCCTTCCATCACCCGTATGCTCTTGCGTAAAACGCGTGCAGAGCAGCTTGCACGTCGTCTTCTTAGGTCCCCCTCGCCGGTCCCCAGACCGACATGTGAGGGGGACCCGAAATACTTAGAGAGCCAGGGCTTGGACGAGATCCGCCTCCCGGGCCCCCGCTCGACGGCGGCGGGCTTGCGCGTCTCTAACGCGCCCCGCCGCCTCCTTCTGCGAGATGGTGCACTCGCAGAAGTCGAGCATCGCCTTCCACGACTCGTCGTCGCCGAGCATCGATGCCACAACACTCGGCAACGGCGGTCGTTTCCTATTTTTGCGACGAGGACACGGCGCCACCCCTCCCATGCGGGGCAGGCGACGAGCGTATGCTCTGCCGTGTCCAAGTCGCAATCACAATGGTGGCACTCTGCCGTCGGCTCGGCTCTGATCCGGTGCAGAAACTCACCGAAGCAACCATGCCCAGTGAGCACCTGCGTGAGCCGGAAAGTGAGGCGTCCCCTGTCACGATTCACCCAATCCACAAGGACTGGGCGAATCGCCTCGACGGTCCTACGACCAGCCGAAGGATCGG